TCTTCCCAAGCGTCCCGTCTTTACATCACAGCGCCTGTCCCAATTACCAGATCTGCGAGATGCTGTTGGCTCATGGCATGAAGTTTTTGCAGCTGGCGGCCCATATGGCGAAGACGTTACTTCGTTATGTAAATATCTGTCTAGTGTGATATTGCAAGAGAAGGACCTGGACAAAGCTGTTTCAGTGGTGCGCTGGTTGATGTGGTTGGTTGGAGATCACTCGCAGCAGCAGGGGTCTAAAGAGCCAGCAGGGTCCCGAGCCGAGGCAACTATAAGCTGGGCAGAGGCTATCGAGGCCATGCAGTACAGTGTCCAGGCTGCCCTGGAACAGAGAGAGCTTCCCCCAGTGGAATTTTCGTAAATGATATCCGAATATCAGACATAACAACTGTACATCCCAGGTTATACATAGAGAAGTCGCATTCACAAATTAAGCCTCTGACCGCTTTCTCTCTGCAGTCGATCTCTCTGTAAATCTGGGAAGGGGAGAAAATATCTTAAAAACATCTAAACAGAATATCTGAGAAGACTACTGAAAAGACAGACGACCGCATAAGCGCCCAACTATTCTTGTACCTAAAGGAAATAGAGCATCAAGCAGGCAAGATCAAAGTGGAGGCCCTTTGACACTGGGTCACAACCACCCGCTTTGCCGATCTGTATTCTTTTGCTATATGTAATGGAAAGTCAATTATATGAACGCCACTAATCGACGTTCTATATACACGCTTATGCCCGAAAGTTAGATCAGTTGCGATTCTACTGACGGAGGAATCCAACTGTCTAGCCTGTGACAGACCAAATACCCCAGAGCATTTAAATACAGGGTGTTTAGGCCCAGGCGCCAACGATGCTCATGCAGAAAGCACCCAAAAATACCAGGATGCAGGCATAGACCCTTCTCTTTCCACGGAGAATGCGCCAGCTCTCGTCACTGAGAAAGTCTTCTGACATCAACTCCACGAGGGAGGCAAAAATCAGAAGTCCAGCTGACATGGCATTCATGACGCCGACAACGAGTAGACCAACCTCCGAGTCGGGGCTATAGAGTGTATGAGTTGCGAGGCCAATAGCTTGCCCGATCGGTGTTCTAGACCTCTGTTAGCACTGCTCAGTCTGTAGTGAGTGGGGAATTAACTTACGTGCATCCATATGCAAGGGACATGATCCAAGGTTGGATTTGCTTTTCTGACCAGGGAAGCGAGGCAATCCGGGACCCAAGCGCCAGGCCTTCAAATGTTTCTGTAGTCAACTTAGTTAAATGCACTGCTCCGATCAAGTAGACGAATATGGAGAACTCACGATGGAACACAATGGCAATGAGCAGAATCACAAATTCATTCCCAACCGATACACTGAGTGACATTCCGATAAACACACTGTGGAAAAGAATACCCATCTCGAGAAGGTAGACCTGCATGGTCTCTTTCTTCTGTTTCTGCTCAGGTGTTAAGGCAAATGTGTCTTCATTACGCTCCATGTCTGCCTGGATAGTCCCATTATCTTTCTCGTGATGAGTTGGAACATCAGGCGCAGATGCAACGCGAACTACATCTTCAGTGCCTTCGCCCATGCGATTGATAGCTCGGCTTATGCTCGCGGACCTTCCAACCAGCGGACCCATGTCTCGCAAATGGGATCGGCCATAATTTCCAGCGGATTGTAAGCTCGGCGCTCTAGAGTGGTCGGAATAGTTGAGAACATCAAGGGTTGGAATTGGAGCTACCATCGTACTCTCAGGGCAGGAAGCTGGCCTTTGGGCTGGGACCCGGTATCCTCCACGGCAGATATTCTGGGCTGGACTGAATACCATTTCGATGACTGTGACGAGGAATATACCACCCAAGGAAATGGCGCCAGGCATGGCTGGGTAGTCCTTTGTCCAGAAATTGGATAGACATGGGTCTCCCAGCGAAGTAAACGCCGTGGGAAGGAGATGCACGAATGCTGTGGCGATGAGGACACCTGTACCAAAATGGGTGACGAAAAATAGGAACGCGGGGGGGATATGCATCCGTGGGAATCGAGTTGCAAGAATGGGGAATGCGCACGCAATGCTTGAGGTGGCTAGGATGATGAAAAGGGCCGCAACGTGCAGTGGTAGGTCGTATGCACCGCGGGTACCTCCCTGAGCACAATTTGATCGTTTGACTGGCTCTGTATACTGCTGTGAAACAGGTGCCTCCAGTATGAGAGGTTGCTTGGATGTGAAATACCCTTTCAGACCGTCGAAGGAAATGATTGCCGAGACAAGAAGCACGGAGAGGAGCCACAAGGCCCAATCCTTGATACTCTGATATGATGGGAAAACATCGTTATTTGGATTCGGTCTTTGACCGATTCCGTTAATAGTATTTTGGGGAGCGAGGCGTCCTGTTCAGCCGTTAGCAGGGTATTGAGAATATATGGTTGTTGTTCATACCTGACATTGTCAGGGACGCCTCGCACCCCATGCCAAGGTGATTCCCCACATCCTTTTCCTCTAGCGGATGAACGCCTTTCCAATTAGAGCTTCCCCGCAAAATACCTGGACCAGACTCATCGTCTTTGTTCTCGCGCGTGTTTGAGATGCCATTGAGATCTTGGCGAGTGGTTAGGTCTGGAGAAAGGAAGCGTGGGTTCTGATTCCACCCATCTTGCAGCAAATCATCGGTCCGAGATGGACAATTCATGATGCTACAATAGTTCTAACTATCTGGACTCAAGAGGTGAAAATTACAATCAATTCGCCTCAAATGCCCAGGGCGATAAGGCATCGATCCCGAGGTCTTGGCATTGGGTGGATTCCGGCCCGATTTTACTTGGCAATGGTTCAGCAACTATCGCCGTGATTCGCCTAGACAGCCTATTCGGACCGGTATTGGCCGAACCACGAATCCTGGGGGCGATATTCTTGTCTTGCAAGTCCGCGATATGGAACCGAGGCTATTAAAATATATTTTTACAAGTCTCCAGAGCGACAGGTCTGGGGATCTGACAATATGCTCTACTATGACCGCATTTAATACTCCGTTCATGCTTAGACCGACTTTCATGCTATACCGCCAATGCGATACGCCTGCTACAAAGACCACACATGATCGGATCGAGCGCAGCCAGTAGAAGAGAACGACGAGAGCCCATACAAGAAAAAGGACGCCAGGGCGAGATTGATCCAAAGATTGCATACCAATGCCAGTGGCAAGAGAAAAAGCACACCGGGGCCAACCCCGCGTTGGGTTGATGGGTGCTTCCAAATTGATACAGGAACAAGAGACAACAGTGTATATTGATATTCGTATTATTCTTTTTTTCCATGATCATTTAGCCCAGGGAGCTTTGGTATGCGCATCGGCATTTCCATCCTGTGAAGGCGAAGGCCGAGGCTGAGCAGACCAGGGTGCTCTGGTGGGTGCCATGGGGCCTGGAGGCATCCTCGAAGTATCTGGAAGAGCAGAGGGACCTCTGGTCGCACCGCTAGGCAACGAGGTTGGGACCCCCTCTCTTCTCATCCCAGCCCACGGGGCTGCTGTCGAGCCCATCGGGGGAACAGCATGCGTGCCTGCCCCGGGATTAGCCCAGGGAGCCTGCCCAGCCCCAGGCATAGGACGGGCACCGGCAACAGAAGAGGGGCCGGAATCCGGGGCAACAGGGCGTGCCTGAGGACCAGATGTGGCATGAACCGTGGAAGGGGGCGGAGGGGCATTTGGATCACGGTCCCAGCTGAACAAAGACCCGAAAGGGAAGTGCTGCACCACGGGGAATTTTGAGAGAACTTCCGCGTTATACATTTTGATCATTCCCTGGTGTGACTCGTCAGCGCGAACATTCCCACTGATAATCAAGATTGCAAACCTTATTGATTTTGCCCCAGCCAGCTGGAATGCCAGAAATATCGAACAACATGCGGCTGTGCTCCCAGAATGGGCCTCTCTTCACATCATAAATGAACCCGATAGCGGAGAAATATAGGTTTGTTTGGCGTTCCCTTCCAACGATATTTGCATTAGCGACACCGCCCGGGTCAGGTGCATTATCCAGTGAGCCTTCTTCGGGAGTCAGGTCATTATCTTTGATTGCAGGCGAGAATTGTGCAGATCCAAAGATATAAGGGACGAAGGAATGATCATCAAGACCCCAGACGCCGTGAGAGCCAGCAGGCTCAAGGTTGTATGTCTTAATTAGTAGTCTGACAAGTTCCAGATATCTAAGTGACGACAGTCAGTAAGGGACGAAGTATATCCGGTGTGGCAGATTCTTGGTGGACGCACGGATGGATCACCCCGACCACGATAGCTCGTTCCTCCACGCCTGGACCGGCCTTGGGAAATCCATTCAGCCTCCATATTCCACCCAGGAAAGCCAAGAAGCTCAGTTCATGACCAGTACCATAGTCCAATCGCTGGCCACTTCCCCAGCTGCCCAAGAAATATGATTTCAACTCCGTCTCCGCCGTTGCGCCCCCATTCGATGATCCTCTATCCAAGAGGTCGGCTGGTAGGCATTCCCTCAGCAGATTGGACGCGCGACTGTCGACCACCTCACACCATCTCCGAAAGCTTATATTTCCAAACCTCCGCGGGCCGGTATCTGGTGGGACCTCCTGTATGATATCTTCGAGTTTCGAGAGAAGTCGTTGCAATTGTCGGACTGGAGCAGAATATTGTATCGCATCGCTGTTAAGAGGCCAAGTTTGTATAGTATCATCGGCCAGCTTCACTGGGAACATAGATCGGTTGAGTTGTAGTATCCACGTCATGATATTAGTATAGGCTTTGGAGGTCAGGAAAACCGATACATCTTGCGATTCGTGAATCTTCTTTTTCGGTTCGATAAAGGTGTGTTCTGTAGAGGGTTCCAAAGTGGGCAACACACGAATAACTAAGCCATTAGCCATGTTGAGCTGAGAAAACCCAAGGTTGGTGTGGGATGAGGGAAAGTTGGAGGGGAAGATGTTAGGCGGCTCCACTAGAGCTCCCTTACCGCGTTTTGCCTTCCTTTTAACTTCCCCACGCGTCAAGATGGCAAAAAGATCCAACAAATCTACCGACTACAGTCTTGGACTTTTGAATAATATCAATTCACTCGGGCGCGATGCCACGAATATGGTCGCCAAAAGGCGTCGCACCACCCATACCAACGTCTTTGACATTCCTATTTCCCCCTCCCCGACAAAATCTCGCAGCCCTCAAACCGAACCAAAAAATACAAGACGGTTTAGTTTGAGAAACCGTAGAGTGCCTAGACTCGCAGAACCGGATTCACCCCCCGGAGTTTTTGACAACGAAGAAGACAAGGAACCCAGCAACGACGAATCCGGGCCAGGCGATGGCGAGTCCGAATTGGCTGATGACCACGGCGAGCTTCAGCTCGAGCCTGAACACGATCCGTTCCCCGAGCCAGTCGATCTCTTCCCGGCCGAAGATGAGGATCAAGCTGATCATCAAGTTGTACATGAAACCAGGGATGCACCAGATGACGCAACTGGAGACGGACCCGAATATCCCGAAGAAGAGGAGGCAGGTGATCAAGAAGGAAATGAAGCTAGAGACGCACAAGACAATGCATCTGAAGACGACTCCGAGTATGAAGATGAAGAAGAGGCCAATGGTCATTCTCCACCCGAAGTCCAGAATCATTCAACACCCCCCAGAATGCAAACAGACTCGAGGTCCAGATCCTCGAGAGTATACCAAGAAACCAAAGAGATAGCAGACATAGAAGTTGCGGGTCAGAAAGTGCTCGAGAATTTCAAATTGCCTCGTCGCAGCTTCAGGAAGTATCAGAGACAACAATCCAGCCTCGCCCAAACCAGGACCATCAAAGTCCTCGCCCCAATATCTTCACGTGGCTAACCGAGACCACTAAAGAATCCGGTTTCAAGGATACCTGGGAAGCAATCCGCAAAACAAGAAAAACCCTTACGGCCCACGCCGATCCCTCCACGAAAGCGCATTTCACGGGCATCATAAAGCTCATTGAGCGGCTACGAGATCCGTTTGAAACCATGATCAACGATCCTGCTTCAGCTTCTTCCTTGAAGAACCAGTGCAGCCTCATCGCCAACAGCATTTTTAAAGAGACCCAGTGGATCGTTTACACCGAAGCCCCAGAAGATGAAGAGAATGGTGCACATCTGGTAAATCAGCTCGAAGCCCATATTGTTCCCCGTCTGATTGACTTGATCATACTCGGATTCAAGACCTACAAGACTATACATGATCGGGCAGCGCGACATTTCCGCATTATCCTGGATTTGATTTGGGGGTCCTGTGATAGGATATCTTCCCTCGTCCAGATGCATTACGTTATTAGTGGGAGCGTGATGGCTTATTCTAGAAAAGTGCTGCACCACGTGAAGACTCTCAAGGATGCCCTAAAAGACGGCCGGCTACGTGAGACACCTCATCGCATCCCCCAACGCCCTCTACCGTACAAGCACTTTGAGTTGGAAGAGGTTGACAGCCATATCTCCTGTGGACGATGGACCCATGCCGAGAAGATTGCACTCCGTGAGGGCTTACAATTATACAGGGGTAAGACTTTTCATTTTTCATACTATATACTATTCTGACGGTATCAATAGGGGAAGATCGATATATCGATATCAAGTGTGACAAAACAGTCGGCGGTCAACTTTCCGAGCGGATCTTGCAACATATCCAGAGCCAAGCCATCAAACTCAGGTTGGATGATTTATGACCCAAGCAAGAGTTGGGAGAGACAGGATTGAAAGGGATACGGCATATACATAGTAGACTTGATTAGTTTCAAATACCCTTTCGCGATGGAATAAGAGACCAAAAATTTGAATTTCTTAAAAGTATGGGAGTGTGGGGAGCGGTCCGTGAACCACAAACGGTGAACCATAGGCATTATTTTGAATATCTATGGATGTCAATGCACCCTTTACGGCTGGTCTATACGATATATACCTCGAAACCTTATCCTTCTATCCTTAGAATGGCAGATATTCTCCAGGGCTGGTGAAAGTTCATTATGTCATTGAGATAGCCAGCGGTAGGAGAAATTTCGTCGGGCTCTTCTGATTCTGAGACATAATGGATATAGATACAAAGCTGCAAACCGAAGAATGAACATACATTTCCTAGGCAAAGTCAACTTCTATGGTCGAAATTACCTAGAAGTAAAAACAGTAGGACAATTTAAGGGGATACCCCGGATCCTATTTAGGGGGTGTCTATAGAGAAAGCCGACAAAGTATAGAGCAGCGGCGATCCCCCTCCTAAATCGACACCGCTTTCTCTTTTTCCCGCTTTCCCCTTTTCTTCCCCAAAGCATCTTGACACCGTTTGCTTTTGTCGGTTTATTTGATTTTTTTTTAACAACTGTGGTCTGGACTTCTCTTGGTCTGGAGATCAGTTTACGAGTAATTGTGAAGAAATCCCATTGGAACGGTTGGGCGGCGCGTGAGTACATTCTTCTCTTTTCCGCATGTTTGTTTATAGACGGGAGCTTCGGTTGAGCTGGACAATGGCACTCAATTATGCCATAGGCGCAGTTGGAATATTTTGCGCAACTGGGACAGATTTTAGGCTTGTACTCAGCACGCTACAAAGACGAGGTCAATGGAGTTGCATGAATTTGAGAGCTCGAAGCTGGGGTTGAAAGCATACCGGCTGGACGATCAGGTGTTTAGGGGTTTGAATTTGCTCAACTAAAGCTGACAACGCTTTTCGCAGACAGCTCACTCGTACACGCCAACTGAACCTTACCACGAAGCTTGCCCTTTTTAATACATTAATCCCGAACAATCTACCGATATGTCCTCAAACGACGAACCTGTCGTTGCCCCTGCTCCTGTCGAGGTCGATGAAAATGAGCCCCCGGCTACCCCGGTAGAAGGGAGTGTCGTTTCTGGAGGCGAAGAGTTGGTTAAGCCCAGTCCCGAGGTATCCAAGGAGAACCCCGCGGCCTCTCTGGCGAAGGCTAGCCCTGGTACACCTGGTACCGCCAAGCGTCCTCTATCTGGAACAGCTACCGCTAAACGGCCCACCTCGTCCTCTGCATCGAAACCCACCACAGGTACCACCCGCACGACTACCGCCAGTACCCTGAACAAACCTCCCACTCGTCCCGCGACCACGACAACCACCCGGAAGCCATTGAGCACCTCAACTGTCTCGTCTCACCGGTCTCGCATGTCAGTCAGCAGCTCTGCAGACGAGAAGCCTCGGTCTGTGGCGAGCTCGGGAGACGAGAGGCGGGGAATCTCTGGCACTGCGAAGCGCATGTCTATGGCCGGTACCACCTCCACCCGTCCCCCTCTCAAACCCACCTCGTCTTCCATCGATCGTAGATCGAGTGTAGCTGGCACCACCGCCGAGAGGAAGCCCACCACCACAACTGCACGCACCGCGATCTCGACGAGCAAGCCCGTGGGCAGGCTGACTTCATCGGCGACACCTGCAAGCCGGACTGCCACTTCCACCTCCACCACTAGACCTGCTACTACTCGGCCAACTTCGACTACGAGCACTGTTAGATCTACCACTGCGGCTGACCCTAAGAAGCGACTGAGTACGCTTCCTGGCTCAATTGCTCGAGCTGGTGATTCCGAGAAGCTGCAGGCCCTTCAGACTAAACTCACAGAGAGCGAAGAGACCGTAGCTAGTCTGAAGACCGAGTTGGATACTGTCAATGAGAAGCTCAGCCAGCTTTCTGTCTCGGCCGAAGAACCCTTGAGTGATGCCGGTGCCACCGAGGCTATTCGTGCGAGTCACACCGCAGAGATTGAGAAGTTGGCATCAGCCCATGCCGAGGAGCTCCAGGGCTTGCAAGCGCAACTAGACGAAGCGGAGTCCCAGCGGAAAGAGCTGGAGGAGAGCTCGCAAAAGGAACTAGAGGAAGCTAGACAATCCGCCGCCGCCCAAGGGGATGACAAGACAGTTGCCCTTCTTGATGAGCTCAAGTCAACACACCAAACACAACTTGAGGCCATTGAAAAAGAGCTGGTAGAGCACAAGTCTGCAGCAGCTCACTTTGAAGAGCAGATTGGCGCCCTGAAAAAGGAACTTGAGTTCCAGAAGCTTGCCATGGAGGAAGAGAAAGCCCTGGACCTCGATCATTTCAACCGAGAACTCAAGGGCCGTGACCAAGTCATGGAGAACCTTAACATGGAGATTGTTAAGCTGAATACGCTCAAGGAGCAGGAAGTTCGCGCTGCCGAAGAGGCTACCCAGGATAGTGTCTCTAGTCTTCAAGAGCAAGTAGCCTCCCTCGAGGCGAAGCTTGCTGCGGCTGAGTCTGCTACCCAGGAAAGCTCTGAGCAGAGCACTTTGATTGTCGAGAAGGATCAAGAAATCACCGAGCTCAAACAGGCCTTGGAGAAGATTCAAAGTGAGCTCCAGGAGGCACGCGACACCGCAGCGACTGAATTGTCATCAAAGACTGAGGAGCTGGAGACTGCCCACGAGGCTGCTGTCGCAAACCTCAAGGCTGAACACGAAATTGCTATTAGTGATATCTCGGCTTCCCACGCAGAGAAGCTCACTGTTGCCATGGCGGCGGCAGAATCGAGCGGGACAGAACACACCGCGCAACTTCAGGAACTCCGTGATGCCCTCGAGGCGTCCAAGGCCACTGCCCAGAAGGCACAAGAAGATGCCGTTGCTAATCTTAAGATCACGCATGAAGCAGAGCTCAAATTGCTGCAAGAAAAGCTAGAGGCTTCCGAGAATGCCCTCGGCGAGTCCCGCCGTGCATTGGATGAGGGTAATGCCTCTGCACAAGACCTTGCCATTCAGGAGATTGACGCTCTTCGACACAAGTGTGAGTCGCTGGAATCGCAGCTGTCCACTGGCACTGGGAAAATCAATGCGCTGCTTGAAGAGATGCAGAGCAAGCAAGCCGAAGCCGAAGCTATCCACCGCACTCTGCGGGACGTCGAAGATCACTCCAAGCAGGAGGGTGTTCAGAAGGACAACAAGATGAAGGCACTGGAGCAGAAGGCCGCAGAAGCCGTATTCCTTCTTGAGAAACACACCTTGGAGGCTGCCGATGTGGCGGAAAAGCACGCACAGGCTCTGGAAGAGTTGAAGGCTGAGCATGCTGCTCATCTCGCATCCGAGTTGGAGCGGGCCAAGGAGGCATCGGGCTCCCATCACAGTGCTCTGAGTGATCTTCAGGCGAAGCACGATGAGTTGCTTGCCACAAACAAGGAATTGGAGTCTATCCATGCCACCCAGGTTCAGTCACTTGAGGCTGAATTGAAGACGGCACTGGAAAGCCACGCTCGTGAGATTGCTACCCACACTGAGGGTCGCGAAAAGGAGACCGCCGAACTTCAGAGTCAATTCGAAGAGACTCAGGCGAAGTTGCAAGCCGAGCTTTTCGCTTTGCAGAGTTCTAGCAAAGCTGATGCCGAGCTTCACGAGCAGCAAATCGCCGAACTGCAAAAGGGCTTTGAACAGACCAAATCCCAGCTCCAGGCTGAGATTGAGGCTGCCCAAACATCCAAGGCTGCGGAGATCGATGCTGGGCACAGCAAGGCAATTGCCGAACTGCAGCAGGGATTTGAAGAGACCAAAATCAAACTCCAGGCCGACATTGAGGCTGTTCATGCCTCCAAGGCTGCTGAGATCGATGCCGAGCACGGAAATGCAATCGAGCAGCTTCTAACCATGCATGAGTCCAAGCTGTCCGGCCTTAGAGAGGAGCTCGAAGCTTCCAACAAGACCAAGATTGACGATCTCCAGAAGGCTCACGATGCAGCACTGGCCAGTGCTCACGAGCAGTTGTCTCAGGCCAAGGCTGCTGCCCAAGACACCTCCGCTCTGGTCGACTTGAAGGCCACAGTCGCTGATCTGCAGGCCAAGCTTGCTGACTCTGAGAAGGCCCACCTTGCGGCACAGGAATCTGCCACCACTGCTTCCAGGGAAATCGAGGGTCGTTACTCAGCTGAGCTCGCCAAGATCCAGGCTGACCATGCCACACTTGGAGAGAAGTACCAAGCCGCTGTCGCCCAGGTGGGTGAGCTCGAGAAGCTTGCCAAGGACTCGGATAGCCAGAAGTCGCATCTTGAGTCGATTATGAAGCAGCTCTCTGAGTCCCGCGACCAACTTCTCAAGGTCAAGGCCGATAACGCCGCCATCTCCGACTCGCTCGTTGATTGCAAGAACCAAAACAAGACCTTGTCCGAGAAGCTTGAAGCTGGTGAACGTGACCTTAATGACCAGATCGACAAGAACATGGGCCTCCTCAACCAGCTTGGCGATGTTGATTCCGACATCTCCGCCAGCCGGCGACGGGTCCGCGAACTCGAAACCGAGCTCGCAGTTCTGAAGGCAGACAGTGGAGAGAAGAGCAGCTCTTCGGGGCTGGAGGCTAGCCGGTGGGCAACAGCTGATGAGGGGAGCGAGAACGCTGAAGATGGGGGTCCAGCCACAACGGAAGGTGAGGACCTAGGCCCATCCATTGAGGGAACGGTGGGAGATCCCCGATTGAAGAAGTCTTCCTACTCATCAGATCTTCCTGCATTCCACCCATTCACATGACTATGAAGACTATATTAGCGTATAATGAGACTAATGCATTCCATAGATGGCAAGCATTCAAGAACAGCTTAAGCACATCCGAACAGCCAATGATGATTGGTACAGCGAGCACTACAGGTCAGTCAAATATATGGTCGTATTAATCAAAAACCATGCTGATCCCTCCAGACTCATTGGCGAACTTGCCAATCTCTCCCGGCAAGCATCCTCCGAATTTCCCAGTCCATCGACCACACCCGTATCAGAAGTCCTACCAGCCCCTGAGCCAGAACCTGCTCGCACCCGTGCAGCAACAGTCTCATTTTTCGGTAAACGCCAAATTTCGCGTTGATTTGGCATCTTTCTGAGCTCTTAGTCGTGATGCAGCATGACTTTCTTTTGTTGAATTCTGTTTCACTCTCTGCTCTTGTGATTATACTGTATGTAATAACTACGCAGGATACCCTGTCTTACTATATCGGGGGTTTCCCACTATTCTTGTTTCAATATCTTTGTCTTACACATCCAACTTTTCTGAGTTGAACTTCGTACTATCTGTTTTGCATTGCTACGATGGTAATACAGGCCGGCTATTGAGTCGCGGGAGATTTACGAGTGGTTTGATGCTCGATCCAAGCATGCTGGGATAGATAATTCAAGCGCAATGCTATGATTGAAAGTTTAGAACAAAGTGGGTATCTCAATAATGCAATAAAGTTCAAAGAACGCCTCCCCAGATGTCCGAAAATAGTCCGCAAAGCCGGATTCGAGTTCACTCCGAGTCGGAAGGGTAGCTGACCAGTGCTGCTGGTGGTGTTGGTGTCACGGCAGAGGAAGCAAGTTCGGTGCTACTGGGATCTTGACGGAGGGATGGAGCCGAAGCGGCGACGGTTTTCCTCTTCTTGATACTAGGTTGCCATGCATTCACTGCATCATCAACCAAGAACGGATCAATAATAGCACGAGTATTCCCAGCCAGCTCACGGCGGAGAGAATCTTTCCGCGTCGCAACCAGATCATCCTTCCGAGGCCGCTTCGAAGAACGAGATTTTTTTCTCTCCCGGTCTTGTCTTTTGTGTAGGCGTCTCCGCTGGCTGCTCAAACATAGGCCGAATACGAGTCACGCGGGACGCATGCGAGGCAACATCAGCCGGGTTCTCCCCGAACTCCACCATGCGCGCTCTCTGCCGATCCCCCTCCGTCTCATCCAACAGCTCAATCCCAAGACTCATTTTATCCTTGAGGGCCTCACTCTTCACCGCAGCCTTTTCAAGTCCTTTTCTCTCCTGCCGAAAGGTCCTCCGCAACCGCATAGACTTCTCATACGGATCCTCCCAATCACGATTCTGCCGTTCCTGAAGCTCAAGAATTCGAGTCGCCTCCGTCTTTGCACGAAGCTTGTCCTCAATCTTCCCCTCGATCTTCGAAAACGGATCCTTCTCCGCGGGATCCATCTCTCGCGCGTACGGTTTGATGGCAATTTCGCCGGGCTGCAGTTCTTTATCTTCGCCGGTGTCTCGTTTGCGCCCGCCTTCTGTAACAACATACGCAGTGTTCTGGGGGTCGGTTCTGATTTCGATCGTTCCGCCGCAGACGGTGTGTTTCATGCGGAAACTGTAAATCGGTGTCGAGTAGTAGTTGCCGACTTTTTTCTTCTCGGCGTTGAAGCGCACGCCTTGGCCGATTATTATGGGATGTGGTTTGCAGGTCTCGCACCATACTGCGAAAGGCATTTCGAAGCGTACGATTAATGCGCCAGTTGTGTGCAGGTGGCGCGCGCGCGCCGAGAGCGTGCTTCCCTGCGAGTTTGTTTCCCGTTGTCACTCCTTCTTGATCTGGCGGGACATATCTGTTGGAAATGTCAGTTGGGGGCTATGTGGATATTTGGATATTTTGCTGACCGTCCCATGTCTATTGAGATGTCATGTTAGTTAGCTGTTTCGCATGTTCTTTGAGATGGGATCGGGGCTTACTGAAGCCCTGCATCTTGGGTGAGTTGCGTAGGTGTCACGCGTCCGGTGTGATTAGAGCTCAGTGGGTACACAGTAAGTTGGAGAGCTAGTCCGAGATGATGGTATTGTAGACGAAGTTATCGACGGGCCTCGGGGACTGACTTTAACCGGAGATAACGGGATTAAGACAGATGACTCATCATTTTCCTTAGCCTCGGAGGATCCTATAACTAACTAGTGGCACCCTAACGGATTACTTGAAGAGGGCATCATCAGGGAAGAAAAAAAACAATAGATACACTATTTGACAGAGAAAAAAAAATTCCCCTTCTGCAGGACAATAACGAGGGTGGCGCTTGAGACATCTACTTATATCGATCTCATCCTTACAGCACGAATCGCCATACTTCGTCATACATCGTCAAGTAGAGACAAGGCTTTTGAATAACCTTTCGTTAGCTAAGGCCCTTTGTAAAGTTGAGAAATTCTTTTGCGGAGGTCTTGGTCTTTAGAGGTTTTGCCAGTTGATTACTTCCAGAGTCAGCTTCGCATCTGCTTTTCTCCTTCTCCCTTCTTGCGAAACTATAAGCGCGTTTCGATCGTTCGAGAGACCTCCCAGTAAGATGGACCAAGATACACACCACAATACAAGGTCCTTAATCTTAGAGCTGCTACTGGAAGATGTGAACGACAATATCGACAGGCTCGAAGTACAACTGCTACTGAATGATACGAATCAACCAGACAACAGGTTAGAAGAAGTAGAGCCCGACAGGGGGGTGGCACTTCATATATGGAAGTCCGAAATCGAAAGAAAAAGAGTTATATTGAGTGACTGTCAGATAGCAACAGTCTTGTCTCTAGGAGAGGAAGCAAAAGAGACGTCGTTGCCCAAGGAAACGAAGACATTCGCTAAATTTATCTCTATCTTTCTTCAGACGCTAGTTCTCTCTCTCAAGAGCATCATGGGTTTCATCAAAGTCCTGCCTGCGGTCAGTTCTTCCCAGCCTGAGGTTTGCACCCCCTGTAGAGAAGTCTACAGTGAAGTTTTCAAAACACAGTGTTCCCACTTTTATTGCAAGGATTGCTTAATCCGCACGGTCATAAAATCTTTGGAAGATGTATCCTTGTTCCCCCCTCAATGCTGTCACAAGGCAATCAGAGGGTCGGGAATGGAGAAGATGATAGGAACTGCGTTGACCCAAGAACACAAGAAGAGGCAAACTGAGCTCAGCGATCCTGACCGAACCTACTGTTCAGATTCAACATGCTCTCAATATATTCTCCCGGCAACGAAATTTTGGCCAGATTTTACTTTTAAAACGGTTTCTATCTGCAAGTGTGGTGTACGCACGTGCAGGAAGTGCAAGAAGAGTGCTCATAGGGGCAGGTGTCTATATCAGCTCGACAAGCCATTCGAGAAATTGATGAAGCAAAATAAATGGCAACGGTGTACTGAATGTGGCCATGTGATTGAACTGAACGAGGGCTGTCCTAATATCACGCAAGTGCTTTTGTTAACCCTTTCCAAACCATATGAGTTATCCACGAAGTCTTTTACTGATATCCTGACAGTTGTGTTTGCAAAGCCCAGTGGTGCTACCACTGCGGGAAGAAGTGGAAAACTTGTGACTGTTCGCAAATGGCAAGAAACCCGAGCCAGCAAATTTCGTGAATCCATCCAAGCGAGGCAAAAAACACTGGGTAGATAATGAACTGGAAATGAACCGGGGCTATTCTGGCTGAATTTGCTGGAGAGTAAAGTATTTGGCTTGCTTATATTTGGCTTGGAGGGATATGGGATACTATCTGTCAGATATTTGAACCCACTTAAGGCAGCAAATTGATCATTTATATTGCTAAATAAGTGAGAAACGAGATAAATGACTACATAGATGTGTGACGAAACGGCGATAGACACTTTTCAAGTTTCTATATCTGCAAGGCTAGTAGGTTGATTTGCTGCATACGAACAAAGCAAATAATTTTGGATATCCCCGAGATATGGTGCCAAAAGCAAAGCCTTTGGAAGATCACCAGTAATATGTCGTTTTACTTGTGCTGCGTAGGGGTCATGTTTCCAAGGCATCCACATGGGTATAGTTAGTTACGTAGTATCAACCTCACCACCAACTGTTTGCTTCTTTCCCCTCTTTTGCAGAAGCTCCAAGCTATTTTAAGGATTATATCTCTCTAGCACGTCTTTCACTTAGCAAAGACCCATCTTCATCACATGGACTACAATACGGATCAAGATACCAAGTTTCTAGTCTTACAGCTATTCCTGGTGAATACAAACGAGGAGACCAACACAGTGCAAAAGAGAATACAAACCACCCTAGGACCCACGCTTTATGAGATATCGGAAGAAGGGTCAGCATGAGCAACTTCAACACGGGCCCAGCGATGTCAATGGGCCTAAAAACAGAAAATGATTTAGCCAAGTACGCAAGAAAAAGATCTTCTTCCAAATCCCTTGCTATCGACATTCATAAACTTGGCGACTCACTTGAGAACGCCATCAACTTGGAAGGCTTTCCCAAATCCGAGATTTGGCATGAGTGTGTCTCCTGTCGGGACGAGCAACTCCAAGGCGATATGCACAAAACAAAGTGTTCACACTTCTATTGCAAGGCTTGTTTGATTCGCCTGTTCAGGGATTCTTTGCATGATGAATCCTTGTTTCCCCCTCAATGCTGCCACAAATCAATTGCGGCCTCGGAGAAGATGCTCGGACTCGCATTAGTTCAAAAGCACAAGGAGAAGACAATTGAGCTCAGCGACCCCGATAGGACATACTGCTGCAACCCGAAGTGCGCTGAATATCTCCCACGAAAGATCACGCGGAATGGGATTTGCAAATGCGCGAGCTGTGGAGTACGCACATGCAGGAAGTGTAAAAAGCATGCCCACGAGGGAAAATGTGTGTATAAACTTGATGCACTCCTGGAGGAATTGGCAGAGCGCAAGAAATGGCAACGATGCGCTAAATGCAGTCGTCTCATTGAGCTCAGCACAGGCTGTAATCACATCACGTAAGGATGATTTCTTTTAACATTCGATTATTCTCTTTATCTTTGACAGCGCAGATCTTTGGACTCACATCTATTAGGTGCATTTGCAAGTTCAAATTTTGTTACTTTTGCAGAAAGCCGTGGAAAACATGCAAATGTATCTATGCAGAGGAAGAGAATCTTTACGAGCGACCCTGAACTAGCAAAGTCAAGCGACTGCTCCAGGTTTGTCTTGGGGTGGACCGGATAAGGCACGACTAGTCATCTAGAAGATGGGGATGCAAGGGAAGTGCAGTTGAAATGGAAAGGCCAAGCATGTGGTTTGCAAAGTTGCCCCTGAGTTCAACCGATCTCATTTACTCCTCGAAAAATAGCCTAAATTGCTCAATAACTTACTATTTACTCAATAATGAGAACATTGTTTGAAGTTTGACCAGTTGATAACTTTGGTGCGTAATATCTAAACACTTGAGTAATAGCTACAGGATTGGACACAGAAGCGAGCATCAATTTTCTCAGTTGATATTGATTCCAGTATGACTTTCTGTAAGTACAATACAAATTACTATTTTACAGAATTCAGTGTTATACTCATTATAACTTCACTTAAAAAAGGAAGATTTGGCAAACATGGCCATCATTTTTGATCTTCCACAAACTATTTCCCCTCGCTTTGCAAGAGCATCCAAAATTTATCCATGATATCAATGGACCACAACATGCACTGTGATATGGACCCAGGTCAGAATGAGGACACCGACCGAGCACTAGTACAAATGGGAGAACTCAAGATTGAGATTGGGGGAGGCAGAGCAACCCGGAGGAGCTCGAGGGGCGCAGCCATGTCACTGGAAAGCCACAGAACATCCGTCGTGGGGTAGGCATCTGCGAGTTCTTTACCGTTCGAACTTGCACCGATTGCAAAAAGGAGGGATACAGAAGTGATTGCACCTACGTAAATGCCAATAACCACAGCGGTGCTCAGGATGAGAAAGTCAATGATGATTTGTTGGAAAAACTTGCAAAGAAGAAGTGGCAACGATGTTCAAATTGCTCTAGAATCATAGAGTGTGTCTCTGGCTGTCAGCGCATATCGTAGGCTGAATATTGTCCCCATAAACTTCAATAAAGGCTGACCATCTTGGTGTTCATGTGGAATGAGCATCTGTTATAAATGTGGGAAAAAGTTAGGGACCTGTGGATGTGCTTATCGCAGTCTAGCAAGACTTTACCCAAGAGTTGGATGAAATTTCGAAGACTATCTTCTCAAGAGCAACCGAAATTTGACATGAATAGTTATGAGTACGGGATATTGAACATTGTGGTTTCATTTGTTTGCCCTGGATATGTGTTGATGGATTGGGCTTAGACGGTTTACATCTGTGTCCAATGAGGTCCATGACAATTCTAATAGCCAAGATAAACAACCAAACAGTATACCGGTTCCAATTCAAGCTCCGATAAACGTGGTACGGGTGGAATTCTCAAAAGACATTTGCCTTCTCTTGGGGATTTTTTGAGAGCCGAAGGAGATCATAGACCGAATCAAGTATATATGTTATGTGACGTCTGAGACTAGTTACATATTGTATATGGTATTTACTGGGGTATAAGACCGCGAATTTCCTCCTTGGATAGAGTCTTCAAGCCAAACAAATCGTTAGAGACCTTCTCAGAATCGAAAAGAGAGCCATGTCCTTCACCGAAGATACTCCGCAAAATAAATTTCCCAGCAAAGATTCCCGGGTTAGGCGCCGGCTTAGCCAATTCGGCATAGGCCTCCTGTTCCAGGTCTGTGGTGGAAACAATCTTCGTCTCAACGTTTTTGCCGGACAACTCCAACAGCTCATTCTGTGTGACCCTAGCCTCATTGATATAAACCGTGGAGTTCTTAGTGGCTTCAAGGTTGTTAATGATTCCAACAACTCCCTTGCCAATGCCACTGAGAGTTGTGGAACTAAAAGGGCGATCACCGCCATCATATAGTACAGCTGGACCAGCAAGATTGAGCACAAAGCCCTTCTCAAGACCCCAGTCGAGGAAGGGGCCAGTAATGAGCAGCGAGTAGCTGAGGTCGGATTTCTGAGCGACGTTCTTGAGATGTTCCTGAACGCTAACCTTATCGCCAAAGACAGGCGATTTGGAAACGAGGGGATTCGTAGTGTCGCAGCCGTATTCTGAAGGGATGAACCGCTTTACGCCAGTTGCCACTGCTGCATCAACCAAGCGTAGGTGAGTGGACTTGGGAGCTGCGCCGACGTTTAGAGTGTTGACTACAACATCTTGGCCGGACAGAGCGGCCTTGAGCGAGTCGAGGGACTCATAGTCGACCTCTGCGACATGGGCACGGGAGTCAAAGGTTTTGTTATTGCCTTGTCTAGTGAGGACAGTCACGTCAAAGCCTGCGGTAAGCAGCTCTGTGAGCACAGCAGGACCGAGATTTCCGCTAGCCTAGGAATATTGTTAGTGAATGGAAAATTATGAGGGACATTGGACTAGCATACTCCGACAAGGGCAACCTTGATGCTCGTCATATTGAAGTTAAGATGTAAATCCCTGAAGTGAATACCAGAGTTGGTTTTGCGATGAGAGATAATTGTCGGGCTGGATAAAGTATTTAGAGCAGTGAAAATATTATAATTGTTGGATGTCTATTTCGAAGCCAGGTAGAGGGATCGCTTATATATATCCTCGTTATGATGCCATCGATGGATGGCATATTCGCAATACTGGTGTATATTAGGTGATTATAGAGCCATTGTGCTATGGATCTAGGTGTCTAGGATTGATTACAGAGCCATTGTACCGTGGATGTAGGTGTTTAGGATTGATTTCAAAGGCATGCTATTGAGGCGGAATTAAGGCCGTGCTTATGTGAGGTAAATCATCGGCTGATCAATCATCTACCTTGGGATATTTCGGAAGTTGGCCGGGGCTGTGGACTTAGCTGTGAACATATGTTGGAAGCTGGGTTCTGCTGTGTTAATCAAATTTTTCATTTAAAAATATCTCGAATAGTTTGACTTGACAATAACTAATTGGTCTCAATCCTCGAATCCCACACCTAGAATAGGTAATCTCCTTGGCTGAATTATTCAACCCTTTCACAGCTCTTTGCACCTCCTCAATTAGAACCTATGCATTCGACAACCCCTGCAGGCTTGGACTCCACAGTTCCTGCATTCGAGAATGAAATCAGGCATCCAGTCACCACATTCCTCACATTCGGCAGAGATATTGAGCTTTTTCCAACCTACATCGTGATCGCAATCATGCCGGGCGATTAGGAATTGAGCTGCTTGCTCAACAGCCTGCGGCGCAGGGTGAGTGGGCTGGTTCCGAGCCGCAATCAGCTCCGCTCGCTCTTGGAGCCTGGCCTCGTCCCAGTGGGCGCATTCACATTGCTTCCAGGGTATAGCACACACATAACAGAATTCATGCTGGAAACGGCATCTAGACAAATGATTGTGTATTAGCAGAAGTGACCGTAAAGTCAAGGAGATTTCATGTCGACGAGAAATTCCTTACGTTATATGATTGCAGCCGCTACGAAGCTCAACGAGATGACTACAATTCGAGCATCTTTGCCACCCTTCTACTCTTGCAAGCTCTAGGACCTCTGCCCGATCATCAACACATTCTCCCTGGTGAGTGATCTTCTTGCAAAGGGTACATGTTTGGTGGTTGCACGATCTGCAATTTCCGATTGTGCCATGGACATAAGTTGGTAGAATGTATCGAGAGCAAGCAGATTCCGAGCAATAAGTACGAAACTGATCTCCGTATTCAATCGATTTTTCCTCGAATCTTGCCCATAGCGCATCATCAATGAAGCCACGCGCAGATTCTAGTGGCAAAGGTAAACGACAACAACGAGGAGGAAACAAGCTTTCATCGGCCAGGGAATTTTGGAGAAGGCGGATGACACATTCTTGGCAATATACATGTAAGCAGCTATTTTCAAACATGTTGGACCCGGGATCACTGTCCGAGTATGCGACGTACTCCCGCAAGACACCAGAAGGAGGTACTGTCGCAGTAGCTGTGACATTCGCTCGCTGTCGGACTTGTACCTGAGCATCTGGGTTAGGAATAAAGTCTTGCGTTGGAGGATGTGCTTGCATTGGAGGTGCGCAAGCTGCTAGAGCACCATTTATCTCACGATTTCGAATACCTCGAAGAATTGCGGCCTGACTGAAACGTGATTGTCTCGATATCTGGATCGCTTCTCGACGGTCCTGTTGGGTTCTTCTTCGCACTCGAAGCTCAGATCTCCATTGCAGAAGAGCACAATCGTGATCATCAATTCGCACTCTTCTATAATTTCCATTGCGGGCTGGTGACCTCAAAAGCTCTTCAACATCTTGCAGTGCAGTCTGTAAAACAAAATCTGCTGTTTCAAGGTCCGTTGCGTCGAGATCCATGGTGAAACTGTTTCATCTCAGAAATATAGAGAGGAGACGCCGTTCTTTGTTTTGTAGGTCAAGAAGAATGCCCAGTCGGATGTCGGATGTAACGCGAGATTTGCACCCCAAGGCTGAATGACCAAGAAAAGGGTATATACAGTTTGAGACAGATGGCGAATAGGCAGTCACACAGCTTGATGCACAAAAGAGATTTAGAACCGAGATATAGGTTGAAAGAGGCGATTAAGATGAAAGACGAAAGATGAAACAAAGTAGAAAGCTTAGGATTGAAGACAGGGGAAGAAACAACTCTCGAGGGAAAGAAGAAAACAGTCAGAAAGGGAACGTACCCAGGTGAGCCACGAGAAGAAAATGGAAGTCATCAAGACAGTGATCTCCAGGCCCATGTGAAGGAAGCCCGAAAAATAAAATAAAATAAAACATATTCTAGCGGTATGTAAAATTTTGAAGCTATTGAGAACACTTTTTTTTGAGTCAACAAAGTTGTTGGCATTCTTCTTTTGCAATTCCTTGCACTTGGTCACGATCAATAAACTGCAAGTGGATAATGTACTTAGATACAAAATAACTTGCGTACTATTATAATATCCTAGACATCCCAGTTCAATATTCAAGTGTTTGTTTAATTGCGTCGTAGATCCCTAGAGTAAGACCATCGGTTAGTGACAATGGGAACGAAATAAAGGGTATTGGGTACTCACTTGCGACATCTGGCAGAATGAATTGTTCGTAGCTCAGCCCAGTATGTGTGCTCCACCCAGCAACTCGCTTGACGGGGGCTTCAAGACGTAAGAATGCACTCTCCTGTATCGTGGATGCAACCTCTGCACCCACGCCATAGTTGACCATACTTTCATGTACGACAATGGCTCGACCAGTCTTCTTGACACTGTTGATGACAGTTTGTCGATCCCAGGGATATATGGTTCGTAGATCAATAAGCTCCACATTGACACCTGGCATGGTCTTCTCAATGGCGGAGATAGCAGAAGAACACAAGTAAAGAGGCTGTCCATATGAAATGATGGTCAAGTCCTTGCCAGGCTTGATGACCTCCGCTTTACTCAGCGGAATAGTATAATATTCATTGGGGACATATTCCACGGCTGCACGGTAGAGGATCTTGGGCTCCATAAAAAGCACCGGATCATTGTGCTCGAAGATAGAAGACAGAAGAAGTCCTTTTGCTTGAGCAGGGGACCGTGGCATGACTACTCGCAACCCCGGAATATGTGCGAAGAGAGACTCTGGGGATTGAGAGTGGTACCTATTTGAGTCAATTAGCATACCAATTTGCTTGGCACTCGGATACACCATAACGTACAGAGCACCGTGTCCAACCGCACCGCACGGCATGCGGATGACGAGACCCCCAACATTAATGCCTGATCCACCCTCTCGATACCGAAACTTGGCCGCCTCATTCACAATCTGATCGAACGCTGGAAATACATAGTCGGCGAATTGGATCTCGGCTATAGGCTTCATCCCTTCCGCTGCCGCCCCAATTGCAAAACCCGCAATACCTTGTTCTGTCAAGGGGGTGTTAAACACTCGATCCGACCCAAATTCTGTTTGAAGATCCATCGAGCATCGGAAAACACCTCCAAATCCAACATCCTCGCCAAACACGATAGTTCGATCGGATTTGGATAGTGCTGTCCGCATTGCTGAGTTGATCGCTTGGTAGAGGTTGAGTCGTTTACTCGTGGCACCTGCCGGGTACTCTGATGTACTTGACAAGGAGGCTGCAGTGTGGTGTAGAATTGGAGTGGTTTTGTAGTCAATAGGTAAGTTCAGCTTCGCTGCCGGAGTAGGAGCTCCAGAGTAGAACCGCCGAGGAGCTTGGGCGAGAGACCGCAAAGAATTTCGTGAGGAAGCCATCTCTGGCTAGAATTGTGAGATATGAAAAAAATCTAAATACATAGAGTTTCTTTTCCGTAGGGATGATTGCCTTATAAATTTACTCCTTGTTCATTGTCCGGGGCATTGCGCGGGGAAACCGCCGCGGATAGCCGAGATAATGCAAATTGTGCAAACTAGCCAAACTAGTCAAACTATAGATATGACGAAGTTGTGATGGACCTGGGCACCACAGTGATTAAGGGAAATATTATATGCGCTATAGAATCCATATGTACCAGATAATGGCTGGCACTCGAGACCTTTCTGGTTCCTCACTGAGCACCCCGATCCACTCCTGATCATCATCTGAGCGCCATGATTGGCTCACTGAGTGCTCACTGAGTGTAGGGATGAGCGGCCTGAGTAAAGTACATCAACGTTATTAATATATTACTAGCATGGTTGATACTAGGCTTCTGGAAGCCCAAAGTTGGGCATATTTATTCAAAGATTACGGGCTGTAGGCAAAAAGAAATAAGCCCATTTTGCCCCACTTTAATGGGCCGAGTTTGGGCTTTGCTTCATCCTAGATAGGTATACTACTTGAGGGCGTGAATACCGAACATGCATCCGTGGCAGTTCGAGAGGTGGACTGAACCATACCAACGAAGTATTTACAGGTCAGCATAGGGGGCTAATCACTCGCAATGAAGTGTAAACTACCCGGGCAAGGGGAGAGAGAGATCAAGATCTGTTGGATCTACCTACTGCCATGAAGCTCTCTTTATAGCTTCATGGGACAAAGAGAGATCTGACTAACTAGAGGTAAGCAAGCAAAGTAGAACCTCGCCGCCTTGCTGCCTAGATACCATATGCATTAACTCGGAGGAATGAGGAGATCTAAGTCCGAACAGAAATTGCTTCAGTACAACGAGTACAGGTTTTTGTAGTTTAGCCCCACCTGCGTTCTGATCTGCAGGGATCGGACCGTCGGATGTATGCGGAAAGAGATCCCTGAATCCATCTTTATATTGAGACATCAATTCCATGCCCTTTCGCAAAATACCGCTTAGGACACGTCTCCACAGTTTCGTGTCTTCCAATTCATTCAAAAAGAAGAGAGGATCCAAGTTGGGCAATAGAGGCTAGGCTGTGGTCATGAAGCTGCTCTATTGACTGACATTCAGGTCTTTTTTTCAGATTCGAGCCAACCAAATGGAGAAGAATTCCAGGTGCTTGTAAATTCCGTAGTGACTTCTTGGCAAAGCTTATAAGGCGATGTAACCTCGACAATGCACTAGGAGCACTTGGTCGTGGTTTGAAATTATAGCCAACTTTGACCGGTTGATCGATGCATGCAAAAGTAGATTTTTATCTACAAGAGGGGCGCTCTAGGCAGCCACAAATATGAGAATTCGGCTTCGTTCGTGCCTCCATATAATTCTACTCAATGTGTGTGCGCTAAAATTTCGCCCAGAAGAAGTGGGCCCATGTGTTTAGTTCACTGTCGGCGGCGTATACTGCGTGAACCTAGATAGAGACTATCGAGAGCTAGAGAGCTGTAGTGAGACATGTTTAATCTAAATATCTGACCGCGAGCCTCCTACACACTACTATCTACAATTAAGCTTCTAGTCACTGACACTAAACTACTAGTTATAAACAGGACCTATAATGGCTTACGTTTCCTTCTGTTAATTCCTGTCTGTTCTTTCTCATTCACATTTGCCCATCACAATCTCAATCGATGGACTCTAGTGCACTCGTTGCTCGCCTTGCGATTATTGGAATTCTGTTCTCCTCCATCTGCTGGCTCTATGCGGTTTCTAGAGGCGTCGATCCTGACATTAAACATATTCTATGGGCTCACGCTAGCTTAGCCATCTACCCCGCCTTCGTCTACCGATGGCCAGCTCGTCGAAGGTCAGCGACTGCCTGATGGATGGCATGCCTTGCACCTAGACGGGAGCGAAGCCTTCAACCTCGCAACTCTAGAAGCAATCACCCCTGGTGTGAACAGCACCAGCACCACCCTAGCTGTCCGTGAGCCAATTAATATCTGCGAGTCTGGTATCTCCAAGCTGGCACAATGTGCCACGGTCGGTAGTTTTGTGTACAACAATAACGGCTGCTATTGTGGGCGTCGTTTGGGCCCAGAGCAAGCAGAAAACCTGCGCCAAGATCAGCGGTAACCTCAATGGCTGGAAGTATGTGTACTATGCTACTGGGTGCAACTGCGACACGACCGCCCAGAAGGAGACCATCCACGGTGCGCTCTACCACTATTTATCGAGTGTTGAGAAGAACAAAGTGTGCGGCACGCAGTGTTTGTCGATAGACCATGGAGGCACCTATGAAGGCTACATGAAGTTGAGGAAGGCAGAGTGGCTTGACGCCAATGGCTACTATAACCCACTTTGTCAGTTGTGCTTCGGGTGGGAACAACAGCTTCAAATAGCGGTTTCGCGTGAGATGCAGGGGAGGCTATAGAAGGCTCTGGGGTGGTTGTATTTGTTTTAGGTGGATAAAAAATTGAATTGGGGTTGAGTGTGGTCGGTTCAAGTGCTATCGGGGTCTTGTCTTCCCTACCCTAGCCTGCTCCTCCTAGTATACCCGATACTCCCGAGGGGTTTATAGGGTTTATATTAGAGCAAGCGGCTTAGCGATCACATAGTAGATTTCCATTATGGCTAGCAGCTAGTACTATCTAATAGAAACCATACGATCTTTGGCCTGCGACAGATTATAAAGCAGCGAAAGACTGAATTCTTAGATTGTGAGATTGCAACAATAAAAAATAGTTCCTTTTAACTTTATGGTGGATAAGAAATCTGTCTATGTGCGTCATGGGCATTTTTATTAGGGTACAGTCATCCTGCACGTGACTAATCTGGAGTATGACACTGATCTGCGCCCGTGCTGACATCTACTCATTGAGCCTGAGCCTGAGCAACCTCATAAAAGTGGCGGCAGCTCAAATGGGAAAGCCCAACCTACCGGGGAAAATCCGGTACGTATAGGTGTATATAGAACATGGAACCATAAAGCTGTAAGGAGTATCCTGATGAGTATCCTAATCATGCACTCTATTCCAATAGACTGGACTTGATCTTTTCTCAATATAAATGAGTGAAACACATACTCGTCCTTCCCATAGGAAAACATAGTAGCCCTAGGCCTTAACTATTCATAATAAGTTCCATCTTATTTATATAAAAGCCATTGGACTTATGCCTCTATGGCGGTGTCGGATTTGATTCGGACTCTTAAGGAGGGGCAATGATCTTATCAGGGCTATCACTTCCGGACCCGTGACTTGTTCCCCGGCCCGCACCAAAATTGCCTTTTTTTCCCAATGACTCAATCTTCCCTTCCTTTTATACTCCACGTTTATAAGTCTTTTTGAATTTTATTCAATTATTCACAATGGCACAGGGAAAGGTATGAACTAATTCCACTCCCTTCTCACACAACCTCAATTCCCAATTCCTTTATCCCACACCGCTACAAGCTCCATACTCTTTCTAACAGTTCAATCGCACAGGTTTGCCTCGCCTACTCCGGCGGTCTCGATACCAGCTGCATCTGTATGAATATCATCATTCAATTGATTCATCGCGGATACTAATACCGAGTTTCAGTGAAGTACCTCATCGAGGAGGGCTATGAGGTCGTCTGTTTCAGTAAGTCGCAATTCAAGCCCATGTCAATCAAGATCAAGTACTAATATGAACATAGTGGCCGATGTTGGCCAGGAAGGTAATCCAATTCCGTCGACATATCACCCAACCCCGGTCTAATAATAATTCGCAGAGGACTTCGAGGCTGCCCGCGAGAAGGCCCTGAAGATTGGTGCCCTCAAGTGCGAGATTATTGACATCCGCCGCGAGTTCATCGAGGAGCTCTGCTTCCCCGCCATTGCTTGCAATGCCGTCTACGAGAACGTCTACCTGCTCGGTACCTCCCTGGCTCGCCCCGTTATTGCCCGTGCCCAGATTGAGGTTGCTCAGGTACGCTTTAATTCCTCGCCAGCAGAAAGATGTCATACTGACCTAAACCTAGCGCGAGGGCTGCTTCGCTGTCTCCCACGGCTGCACTGGTAAGGGTAACGACCAGGTCCGCTTCGAGCTTGCATTCTACGCCCTCCAGCCTGACATCAAGGTCATTGCCCCGTGGCGCGAACCCGTCTTCTACGAGCGCTTCAAGGGTCGCCAGGACCTGCTCGACTACGCCGAGGAGAAGGGTATCCCCGTCACCTCCACCAAGTCTAAGCCCTGGTCTATGGACGAGAACCTGGCCCACTGCTCTTACGAGGCCGGTATCCTGGAGGACCCCAACACCACTCCTCCCGCCGACATGTGGAAGCTTACCCAGGACCCCCTGACTGCCCCCGATCAGCCCGAGGACTTCACTCTCTACTTCGAGAAGGGTGTCCCCGTCAAGCTCGAGTACACTGAGGGTGGCAAGCAGAAGGTTGCTACCGACTCCGTCGAGCTCTTCCTCACCGCTAACGCCATTGCCCGCCGTCACGGTGTTGGCCGTATCGATATCGTCGAGAACCGTTTCATCGGTATCAAGTCCCGTGGCTGCTACGAGACCCCCGGTCTCACCTGCCTGCGCTCTGCCCACCTGTGAGTATATTCTATTGCGATACTTTGATGGCATAACTAACTTGTATTCCAGTGACCTTGAGGGTCTTGTTATGGACCGTGAGGTCCGTGCTCTGCGCGATTCTTTCGTCACCTACAACTACTCCAAGGTAAGCACGATATTCCCGGTATTCGATTATCTGATCTAACATATCCAGCTCCTGTACAACGGCATGTACTTCTCCCCCGAGCGTGAGTTCCTCGAGGTCTCCATCACCGCTTCCCAGAAGTCCGTCAACGGCCAGGTCCGCTGCCGCGCCTACAAGGGCACCATGTCCGTCCTCGGCCGCTCCTCCGAGACCGAGAAGCTCTACGACATGAGCGAGTCCTCCATGGATGAGATTGGTGACTTCTCCCCCGCTGAGACCACTGGCTTCATCAACGTGTCTGCCATCCGTCTCAAGAAGTACGGTCAGATGAAGGCCGCCGCTGGTGAGAGATTGTAAATTATGTCTCCAGAAATATGACATGTCATCTTCAATTTGAATGATTGGAATGCCAAATGTTGACCATCCCTGGCTTCCTGAGGCCAACATGTCAAGTCTCCTTGCCTTATGTTCCACCGATTTATGATGGATGGTCTTGGGCTTGAATGACTGTATAATGAACTAGAAAAATATTAGCACTATGGGAATTGGTATTAAAATTGCAATGTCTTGGATGAATTGAACGATCCCATTTTCATTACGTCCACGCAAGCTCGTACCTTCAAGTGAAAGGTTTAGATTCTAAGAATAGTTATGTATGTGATCTAATTCTAGTCGACTCTATGTAGGCGCTAGATGATGACAAAGCTGAGATATGAACAGGACACCCTACAGATTCGCATTAACCTTGAGCGGTCCTCGGTCTTCTGCCGACGAGTTAGCACATGACCATCCGAGACATAAAGGGGACATACCATTCCAAATATCCAACGCCGCCTTCTCTGCGTCCCAGCCCCAAAGGAACTCTTGTGTCCGACGATCCGACCACTTGTCGGGGTTATTTCCGCTGACCGAAGCCTTGAACTGCTCATCTCGGGCAATTTGCTCAGGTCCATCTGGCAAATGTAACGTGATACGATTCTCCGATCCAGACTGCTGCACCGTCTCAGCACGCTTCTTCCGGGACCTTTCATAAGCACTCAATGCATTCGGAATCTCCTCGCGCGATGAGATAGCCGACAACACGACACCAAGCGCAGCCGCATCTTCAACAGCCTGGGCAGCACCTTGAGCAAGATATGGACTAGACCAGCAAGGTTAGTTTTGAGGCCAAATCAGCCAAAGTTCACGAGCACATACAGCATGGGATGACACGCATCACCGATCAGAGCGACGGATCCCCGAACCCATGTCTTCAGCGGACGATGCAGACACAACTTCCACTCCAAAACTTGATTATCATCAACCAGATCAATAAGTTTCCGTACCCTGGTATCCCAACCCTCATAGTTGTCAGCCATAGCCTGCTTGGAACCCTGCGTGGTCCAAGACTCATCAACACCATGGCTATCAGGATGAAGCAGGACAACATTGTACAGCTCATGCTTGCGCACAGGGTAAGCGATAATATGGCGCGAAGGACCCAGCCAACGAGTCGCCAGCGGCTCGTCAATGAGCTTCTTCAATTCAGGATCCTGCTCCATAATGTGTCGGGGTAGCATGATGCGGTAGGCCGCGTCGCCAGTGGCAACTGCTTTAATACTCGAGTCTTCGAGCAGATGACTACGGACGGTAGACTTGATGCCGTCTGCGCCGATTACCACGTCGCCACGCACAATTTCGCCGTTGGCGAGAGTAACACTGGCTGGGCTAAATTGCACGTCTGTGACAAATGAGTTCTCGCGGAGCTCAACGTTGGGAAGGGCTATAGCCCTGTCGATGATAGCATTGTGCAGGTCTGCGCGGTGAATAACGACTTGCTGGCCGAACGTCTTGTTCACTGGCATTGTGGCGAGGAGGTTGCCGTTGTCCCATCTTCGGACTTGGATGTGTTCTAGAGCTACGTCTTGGGCATGGATTAAGTCCGAGACCCCCCATCCTGATACTGGTTAGCATGCCTGTTTTACTCGCAGGATCGTGGAAACAGACTCACTCTCGAATAAACGCATCATGTTTGGGGACACTTGGATCCCAGCTCCCACTTCCATGATCTATTGAGTGGTTAGCCTTGCTTGAAATGCCACACATTCTCGATTATCCACGCCACATACCTTTGGGGCAGCTTCAAGGACAATGACACGGTGTCCGCGCAGACCTAATGTGAGGGCCGCAGCCATACCGCCGATGCCTGGTTCAACTATCGTTAATACCTTTTTCTCGAGCCAATGGAGCCTTCCCGTTCAGGAACAACATACCAGCCCTACGAAACATCAGTATAACAACCTCACATGAACCATGCACAATGGAATACATACCCGACAACAATCACCTCTAGAGGCACCTTTGCCATTGGGACCTCCATCTTGAATATTCAAACTGTTATCGGAGGAAGGGAGTGGTGGTAGAAACAAAGATTTCGAAACTAGCTTTTGGCTGGTAAAGGCAGGCCTTGCAGTACTTAAGAAATTATTACTTCGAGTCTATTTTAAGGGACTGCCGTTCCACCCGCTCTCAGTTCGGGAAAGAGAAAGATGAAATTGCCTGAAAGCCGAAGAGATGTAATTTCTTATTATTCCTAGCTACCTTAGCGCCTCCACAGCTTACTCACCTCTTATCTAGTTACAGACCGGGGGAACTGGTATGGAGAAATATTTCTTATAGCGTGTGGATTCGCAAATCGCGGGGCCGGGGTTCCCCCGGATGTACTATGCTTGAATACCGTTGCAGATTGAAAGCAGCAAGTCCCTTATTTCAT